ATTTCTTTCCATTTCACTAAATAAGTTCATATTCTTTTATTGTGTTATTTTTAGTGGCTAAAGAGTTAACAAAGGACTTGTAATTAGCTTATGAAAGTTAATTTTTGTTTTAAAAAAATTTACTGCTTGTGGTTTTCATTTACTTTTGGAATCTCTAATGACTCCAACTCCTGCATTCATTTTTATATTTGTTCAGCATAAGGTCTTAAAAGAAGTTTGTTTATTATTTCAACATGTTGATGATCTACTTCATAGTCTTCAAGGTAGGTTATCAAAAGGAAAGTGTGGATGCACAAGATTTCAGATAATTCACATTGTAGAACACTTTCCTGTCTGAGTGTTTGTTCCACCTCTTGTAGGAGGTGATTATTAGCACATTATCAGATGAAAAAGAATATAAACATTAAGCAATGAGTACCGAATTCAAATGTTTCTGAACATTTCTCACTTGACCTTCTCATATGCATTCTGACTTTGTGATGCTTCCTCCTTTTAGTGCTCCTTCTGGCCTCATTTTCTTGCGATTTTCCCTTTTCATTATCACATAGGCAAAACAAACAAGGAAGGAACTTGTTTTCTAGTGGTTCGTGAACTAATGGGCCAAGACAGAGCTTTCTAATTTCTTTTTTGTTGTTGTTAACTATTTTCATCTCAGTTGACAATAGTGTCTATTAATATGAATCCAGTTCTCTTCTTGATTTACCTCATGACATCCACAGAGTTCCATGTGATTTTCACATCAAGATTTAGTTGGATTCAAAGGGAGGAGTTTACAGATATTTTGTCAAGACTATTAATAATTACAATAAGTAACATTTATTGAATGCCTCTTATATGCCAGACCGTAAACACTATTTTAAATACATTTTGTTATAGGAAACTTAAAGCTCATGTGAAATTAGAAGGTGAGTGCAGCGCTTACCTGTCTCCCCCTTCACAACCTCCTGCCCTACGTTACTTCATCACTTCCTCATCACTGGGCGGTTGTGAGCAAATCCCAGACCTTGTATTATTTCATCTGTCAGTATTTCAGAAAGCAAGCACCCTTAGGCATCATATATTTTTAAATTACCTTTAACATTTGAATTTTTCATTAAATTATGACCTTCAGACAGAAAACGACAGAAATCATAAGTAGCTCTGATTAATTTTCATTATTTGAACACACAGTGTAACTAGTAAGAAACAAGACATTGCTAACACAACTGGAGGCTTTCTCTGCCCACGTGTGTGCCCCACCTCTCAAGGGGATTCTGTTCTCACCACCACAGGTAGCTTTGCCTATTTTTGAGTGGAATGGTATGAAATCATGCAGTGTACTTTTGAATCAGGGTTCTTTTACTGCACATTTTGTTTGGAGATTTACCCATATTGCCATGTGTAATGCTGTATAAGACACCATTGTGGGGCCATACCACAGTTTAACCACTCAGTTACAGACAGAATTCAGAGGGCTGCTGGGCTGGGCTATTGTGAATAGTCTGAAGTTAGTAAGTAATGAAGTCTAAATTCAGACCAGCTTTGCTTGACTCTAGAACCAGAAATTGTAATGAATATACTTTGATAAAAATTGGTTTTCCAGAATTAACTATAGTTATCTATCTAATTTTTATGTACAAGCTTATAAACGTGCAAGAAATGCACTTGTGGCCTTGTGCCCAGTCATTGGCTTTTATATTGTGTACCTATTTCTTGGAGACACTGAAAGTTTCACTCACTTTAAAAAAATTGTTTAAAGCCATTTGTTCCAATGAGAGAGTATTGAGCAAGAATGGGGCATGACTCTGGCATAGGAAAGGAAGTAGGAAATACACCTAGGAGAATGTTATCTAACTATGAAAAGTAGGAAGTTTGTGACCTACAAGTACCTATAATGACTTCCAGAGTTAAGTTTTACTCATGCAATTTCAAGCACACAGCAGAAATATGGGAATTTTAGTGTCTAATGTGTGTAAGGGAGTACTTAATTCGCTCAGGCAAGTGCAAAAGAATGTTGTGCTACTACTCTTTAAACTGGTCTCACTTTGCTTTTTTCTGAAGCAGTTGAAAAAATAAAAAATTTAGTGTTTCGTGAATATTTGTAGGTATCATAGTATTTATTTTATTTATTGGTAGGACAAGTAGTTATTTTATGAATATTTATAGTTACTACAAAGCATTAGCACTGTTTCTTTTAAAATTTTGTGAAAATCTAAATAGAATTACAGCTAGATTAATGGAAAATCCAAGTACTGTACTTTCAAATTGTAAAACCTGAGTATTTGCTATATAATACAATATCATTTTGATGCCAAGGAAGTAGCTGATACATGATTTTCCCTTTCGTTTTGTGTGTGTGTTTCTTTTTTTCTTATATCTTTGAGAACTTTTGGTTGTGAATACATAGCTCACAAACCTGTTTACATTGCTTATCAAATCATAGACCAAAAGTATATTTTCAGAATGTAATTTTAGAATTTCATTAAGCAGTAACTCATTCATCAGAAAGCATTATGCATTGCTTGTTTTAGAAAGCTAAACAGCACATATCTTTTTGGTTAAAAATACTTTTCTCCCCTAAAATAATATCCTTTTTTCAGTCCAATTTTCTCTTCTCTGATATTCTGCAAGACTTCAATTCCAATGAGTTTTTATTTTGCTATGCTCAACACAAACTTATTCCTTTTTTTTTTCTATCTGCCACCAAAACTGTGGAACTTTCAGGGTACTTTTTAGGAGTAGAGTACTTTCCTGTGATAGAGTACTTTCCTGACATGCACAAGGTTCTGGGTTCAATCCCAAGATCCCCTCCCCTCAGAAAAAGGAATGTGTTTGGTCAGAAGAGAATGGAGTCTACCTGGTTAAACTTTCAGAGATTGCTAAGAATAGGCTACTGTGACTATTGAATATACAAAAGTACCTAAGTGGTTGTAAAGTTTTGAAACCAAACTCTGGTTCAAATTCTGGTTCTGCTACTTAATAACATATGATCCTGGTCAACTTCCTTGATGTTTGTGTGCTTAAATTTTCTTGCATGTAAAATGGAAGATAATAATAATATCTACCTCATAAGATGAGTATGAGAATTAAGTGGGTTACTGTATGTCAAGTGTTTAGAACGCTGCTGGGCTTATACTAAGTATTGTATAAATATTTTTTATTATTATACTACAATTTATTATTTTCATTTAGAATTTTAACAAATTCAAGGTAGTTAATTTGCAACCAAAGAATTTCTTTCTACCACTTTAATATGTAGCCTATGATGACCTAAATGTTGAGAGAGTTTGGAAGCATTTTCTGTATGCTTTAAAGTCTCCTTTCTCTTTTGTATAATCTTTTATATGTTAATTTTCTTGTTTAGTAATTTCTGTTTATTCAACTCTTGCTATAGTTCTTGCAGATTCAGTAAGGAAAATAGGAAAGTTCTTTGGAACTCAGGAACTCCTATCCAAGTCTTTTTTTTTTTTTTTTTTTTTTTGGTACCTGGAACTATATTTAGGACCTCACACTTGTCAGGCAGATGCTGCGCCCCTGAGCTATATCCCTGGCCCCACCCAAGTCTTTAGATACCCCGCCTTGAACACTGCTGATGTAAACATCATTTTGAAGTAAATATCTATTAAGTGTCTATTTTTCTCCTTAGTAGTAAATTAAATAACTTGTTAGTTTAAAAAATCACTATGCTTTAAAAAATGAAGAAGGTTGGAAAGTTTGTTTTTAGAAATGGCTATGGAGATAATAATTTTAAACTGACAGCATTAACCTACCTTTTGCTTAAAAATTTCATCATGACTCATCCTTGAAGTTGGGAAGTCAGCTGTGATTTACCAGACGTTCTTAGAATACTAACACTTAAGACTGTGGGAAAGAATGTAGCTGAACAGTAATATATTAACAATATGTGTTGAAAAATCAGTTCCTCATCAACTGTATACAAAACACAAATTTCTAATAGTTCTTAATAGCACTACTTCCTCTGTGGATTATGTAGGAAATGCTTTAGTCTGAATAATTGTTCCCAGGAGGGAAAAGCCTTCAAAATAATTTTACTTGTGTGTGTGTGTGTGTGTGTGTGTGTGTGTGTGTCTCATGGGGAAGTGAGGGAGAGGAGCTGATTACTGCAGAATAGTGAACTGAGTCATACAGATATGCCTAGTATAATTTATTTATTTATTTATATTTTAAAGAGAATAAGAAACAATAACAACAACATAGACAAAAACAAAACAAAGCAAAAACAATACAAATGATACAGGGTTTCAAAACAAAATGATAGAAATTAACAGTAGTTGTTATATTACATATTGTTATCTTCAGCAAAGTTGCTCAGATTACCAGGTGTAAGAATACAAGATTGATCAAACCATTAAAGAGAATAAAAAATAATAAAAAGTTTAGAAATGATACAGAGTTTTACTAGACAAGATGATAGGAATTCACCAATGGTTGTTATATTGCATATTGTTGTCTTCAAATTAGTTGTTCAGATTACCAGATATAAGCATGCAAAATTAGTTCAAAAATAAGCATTAACTGTTCCTTTCTTTTCTTTTTTTCCCTCGTACCAGGAATCAAGCTCACAACCTCACGCTTGCCAAGCAGGCGCTGTGCTGCTGAGCAAAATCCCCAGCCCCTAAGTGTTTCTTTAAACAGACCATTAGAGTTATCCCAGCTTTCCTTCTATACACAGATGTAGTTTTCCCCTCCTTGTTTCTTTCTTTTCTTCTTTCTCCCATCCCAGTTGTTCCTTCCTTTGAGCAATTTCTTTCCCTTTTGTAGTATCTATTGTACGTTTTGGGGTTTACTCACTAGGGAAGTAATACAATGTTTACACATGTGGGTCTGATTCATTTCACTTACAGTGATATATGTGCACTCATGTTTATAGCAGCACAATTTGTTATAGCTAAATCTTGGAAACAACCCAGATGCCCATCCACTGAGGAATGGATAAAAAAGGTGTGATATTTTTATACAATGGAGTATTACTCAGCTATAAAAAAAGATAAACTCGAGGCTTTTATAGGTAAATGGATGCAACTACAGACCATGCCTAGTATATTTTAAAATAACATAATTTGAAGGTAGCAACAGTGTGTAATTATATGCAATACTTTATGTGTTATTGCTTGTTACCACATTTCAAAAATATAAACTATTAGCAATAATGGACAGCTAATCTAAAGGTTAAAGAAGAAATAACTACCACTCTTTCAGTGGAATTAGCTAGGCCTGTAAAGGGACAGTAGGTTGTTCCTCTTAGAGCCTTGACATTTGGCTCTACTCCCCTGTTTCATTTTGGGTTGGAAACCTCCACAAAGTATTAGTAGGGGAAAAGGGATATTCTAGCAATTCTCTTCTGTGATTTCCAATCTGGGGTGTTGGATGTGGTATGTGTGTGGGGGAGTATGTATATTTGTCAAAGAATAATACCTCTGCCTGCCTCTTTGTAAATTTTGAAGATGTTCTCCTGGTGATTCTGAATCCCCCACAGCTCAGTCATATGTGTCCTACTCCTATCAGCACCCACTTTCAGGAACTGGGACTTGTTTGTTTTAAAAGCATCCATTAGTGTTCTAGGAGAGACAGATTGTTTCACATCAGTGCTCCTTCATCGTAATAGAATTTCTTTTTAAAAATTTAAATTCAAGATTGGCTTTGACCCAGAAAGACTGAGCCTGAACAAAGGCAATTTTGCATTTGTGTAGTAACAAGTAATTTAAGAGGAGAAGATGCGTGCTGTCAGTGTGCTAGCTGGGATGGGAAGAGCCAAGATCTTTTCTAATGGACTGCGGTGTGGGAGTCAACTTTACTTTGAAGGTGAAGGACACTTCTTTTAAAAAAAGGCATATCCACCAATGCACCCCTGCACTTCTACATAAAATGGTAAACTTTCCCAGGGAGACATTAGGGTTACTCAGCATATAAGTTATGAATTGGAAGTATACAATTCTTAAAATATTAAATCTGTCTTTTCATATATCTCTGTGGTCCATCTCCCATTTGCAGGTCAAAAAGAGAATGTATTTCCCTGGATTCAATCCCTGCAAAAGTGAAGTTTATAAATTGATCTCAGGAATCGATCAATAATGTTGTTGGTGAGATTTTTGTCAGGGCAGTATACTAGTTTTTTAGCTAAGAATCTCTCTCTGTCTGTCCCTTTCTCTCTTACCCTCCCTTCTCCCTTTCCTCTGTACTTAACTTGTAGATAAAAAGACCTCTCACAGCTCCCCTTTACTATTTATATATGTAATTAGTAAACTAATCCCCCCCAAATATATATATATATATATATATATATATATATATATATATATATATACTAATCTTGGCAGATTCATACTCTTTTATGATATAGAAAGAAGCAAATGAATTATTTTGAGACAGTCTTTCTGTTGAAGTTCTGGGTGGAAATGATCCTTCTCTGGATTTGGAGGCTGGGGAGTTAAGGAAGAGGGAAACCTGCAACCACTAGTGATGTCTGAAGTTCTGACTTTGCTGGAGTGTTTGCCATGTGTTACTTTGAGTGAATGACTTGAGCTAGAATGCTGAAATTTACCTTCTTAATCGTACTCCTTTCAAAATCATTACATTGTAGACACTCCCTTATGGTAGGCTTGTTTTAATAATATGCAGCTATATCTGGTTAAGCCTCTCATGACTAGGTAAGTGATCCAGCTGTAAATGAGGAACACCAATGTCAAAATCTGCTTGGAAATGATCTCTTCCTGAAAAATTTCCCAACAGTTGTGATACACTTTTTAAAGCATTAAAAAAAACCCCAACAACTTGAGAACACTTATCTGAGAGAGCCTAATTGAGAAGAATATTGCATTGGTAAATTGCTCTGCCCAAGACAACTGCTGTTCTGTTTCTTTTCAGATTTTAAAACCCAAGTCCCAAATCACAGTCTGCAGTAAGAGCTTCCAACAATAATTACCTCTGTGCAGGGAGCAGAGGTCCTTGAAAGGGTCTGCTGGTTTCCTGAATCTTCCCAGGGTGAGTGGGACTGTATCCACTGATAACCCAGCTGCCTGGGAACTCAGAGGAGCCGGCTCCAAACTTCTCAGCTGTTGACAGGCGTGACTTGCTGAGAACACTGGATAAATATAGCACGCGCGAGCTCAGCTCCTCAGCAAAGTCATCGCTCTGACAGCGCTGTGAAGGGAACAGAGAGGAGAAACCCAATCTCAGAACCTAACAACACCTAGCAACAGTTGAAAAAACTTTAAACAAAACTCTGGGTGGGAGATATACAACAACTTCCAATTTGTGCTGATCGAGATTTCAGGGAGAAGCCGCTTTCCTCTCACACTCAGCTTCCTGCATGACTTCAGCTATTGGCTGGTCCTAGCAAAGAGAGTGGGAAAAGCTTTTTCCTCTGTATTCTTTTGGGCTGGATAGTTTTCCAGGACTCGGTCTGTCTTGGGCTGTGGGACAAGCCACTGGGTTCTTCAGAGGATAAGCCACCTCCCAAAGCACATCCCGTTGGTTAAACGAGCTGCCGTCAGGTAAGACCAAAACAAATAGCAACTTTCTTTCTTTCTTTTTTTTACTTACTTTCTTAAAAAATTTCAGAGTTCTCTCTGATTCTGTCTTGTCTGTGTCCTTTGATTCTTCCTGATCTACGATGTGATAACACAGTTAGGAATCAGTGTAGTCATTGTGAATTATTTAAAAAGTTGGAAACTTCAGCTGTTACAGTTGTTCTGATTCCTTTTCAACACAAAAAATATCTGATATCATAATAGCTGTCAAAATACTTCTCGCAAGTTGTCCCTCTTTGGCAGGTAACAAATATAACATGGGACGATTCCACAGCTCTTTTCACAGTGAGGATAGCTAGGCGATGGGAGGGATGTTCCCCTAGAAGCAAAATAATTTTCACTTATCGAAACTAGCTCAGCAGCCTGTGTGTAAAGGAGAGGAAAGTCCCGAGTGGTGTTTGTGCTGCTGCCCTCTGACGACTCCTTGTGTCTGAGGCTCTGATTACACCAGTTCACCTTGTGCAGGCGCTGGGCTCACTACACCAGTCAGCCCCAAGCTTCTGTCAGTGTTGAATTGGTGCTTCTGCGGTTGTTGAATATAAGAACTCAGGAGAAGGTTGTGTGTACCTTAAAATGAATCAAGCAATGACTTTTACATAGATATAACAGATTCTGTCTTAGAAAACTTAAACTGAATTTATTAAGAAAAAATCCTTTCTTAAATTGCAAGGGTGTACGCACGAGTGTGTTTACCTCCGTGGGGAGGAAGTCTTCGTTCCATCCGGGGGGTCTGTTGTCTCCTTTGCCTGAGCTGCTATGCAGTGTTATCAGAACTGCTGAAGAATGAACAGTTTCATGTTGGATCTGTCAGGTTACAGCTGTGCGTCCGCGAGGTGCTGTGGTTAGTATTGACACCTGGTGGTCTACCCTTGTATTTCTTCATTTAAAGGAACGATCTTTTAAATGAACATGATAGTTTGAGTGAATGTCCTAACTTAAGGATAATGTCGAAGAAGTATAGAAACACACTTAAAAATTACTTGAAACTATTTTAACAAAGTAAGAAAAAGAATTTACCTACAACCAGTCTTGAACAAATTGTTGACAAATAAGAATGTACATGTTCCTAATTTAAGGAAAACCAAATTTTTTTTTTTTTTTTTTTTTTTTACAGTTTCTTTGGGAAAATGAATACTACATCAGTTTTGGTATGCATTATATGTTTCATAATTCTGATCACTCGAGTAGTTTTTAAAGTAGGCAAAGCTAGTCATATATAATGTATATGCACAAAAAATAATGCAAATATACTCTGGTGACCTCAGGATTGGAGCATAAATTCCTGGTGCTTTACTAGGGATGAAATATCTTTATCTTAAAAGAGTTTTGAAAAGTCAGAACTAAATGTCTCACATTTTTCTTGTCTTTATCCTAGGAAAGGGTCACATTGTTGGCTTACAAATGCATGTGGAAGGCCAAAATCTACCATTAGTTCAAGGCATGTAATTTTTTTTTATTTTTTTGGCTTTAATCAGACAGTTTTTAGATAACTAAGCACTGTATTTGGCGCTGAGTGAAAATCACATCTACTGATGAAGTGGATTTTTTAAAGTGTTACGAATTGTCTTCATGTTTATAAGTTTACTCTTGAAAATCAAGAAGAGCTCAGGTTAAACCACATGGTTTCCTCCACTAGATGAACAAACTCTGTAACTATGCAGATCTGTTCTCCCAGTTCCTCCACTTTGTATTTCTCCTCTGTAAGATTTATTCTGTTGCCTTGTCTCCCACCACACGGAGGTCTGCCCTCTTCACCCTGTGTCTGGATTGTAATACTGTTGCTTCCTCCCAGCCCTCAATGCCTTTTAGGCCCTCAGGTCATCTTGCCTTCGACCCCAGGATTAATGTTCCTGTAGCATTGCTGTGCTTGTCTACCTACTCTTTAGCTCTCTACTGAGACTTCTGGTTACTGCCAAACACCTAGGCTGGATATTCTGAGAAGTGTCCGTCATCGGGCACCTACTTGACTTTTCTAGTCTCACTCCCACTGTTTGGCAACAGGTCCTTTGGCTTCAGGTATTTCAGATATGGACCATTCTCCAGACACGGGCCCAGTGAACATTTATTTCAACACCTTACCTTATTCTCCTGCCCTGACCATACCTTTTGGAAGTGGCTGATTCCTTCCTAGTTCAATAATTTGAAAACAAACAAACAAACAAACAAACAAACAAAAACACAACTTGATGCTTCTTAGGAGTTAGGATGTTTTGGAGTAGGCTTTACCTCATTAAATCCAGGACGATTTTATGAAGTCTTTTAGATGTATGACAGTATCGTAAGTGTCACTTGGCTCTGGAGCTCCCTAGCCCCATGCATATTGTGAGTGTCTATTAACTCTTGGGGCTCTAGTTTTCTCATGATGAAAATGTGAGAGAGTATGGATCAACATAAAATCAAGTATGATTAATAGATTTTATGTTAAAAAAGAGGGAGTTTGCTGAATTTTACCATGCACAGAAAAAGATACCATTTTAACTATGATCATGTACCTGACTGTGGAGATGATGTTATAGCTCTCAAAAATGAAATTGAAACATTACCTAGCTATCTCTTCTGTATGAACCTAGACCTGTACATTTCTAAACACAAACTTTTATCATCTTTCGTTGCCAGATTTTATTTATAGTTACCTTTGGTACAATTCATTTAAGTTATGATTCTTTCTCTTTGGGGATGATAGATTAGACTCTAGACTTTTAAAACATTTAACTACGATATGGTCTTTTTTCTGTCCTTTTTTCTATACATTTAAAAATAGGATGTTTCTCAGTACTATCTTTAATCACTCATGAAACCTATGCCCTCACTGTGTGAGATCAAGCATGAATCATGCTTTTGAAGCAATTTGTTCTGTATCCACCAATAGAAAAACATTCTTTTTACATTATTAGATGGTCACAGAGGTTAAACATATTCTTCCAATTGGGTTTTGGCAATAATCATTGCGGATTTTTTTTAATGGAACTTGTGAAATAATTTCATTAAGCAATGATTTCCCTGTGGCTATAATTTCTATTTATTCTTTAGAAGTGAAAATTTGAGATTTACACATTCTAAATAACGCTAATAGTGTTTTCTTTTTTAGGCAGAGGAGAATTTCTTCATAAGAGAGTTATCTTAGATTTAGGATATTACTGAGCTTATTTCACATACATTTCACTCACTTGTTTAACCTTCTTATGTTATTAAACTTGTGGGTCTTTGAAAGGCAGCAGTATGAAATGGGGGGACCTTGCAAGCTTAGGCTGGAATCTACTTCTAAAAAAAGTTTAAGGGAAAAGCTTGATAACAACTTAGAAATGTGACACTGATAAGTCTGCGATTTAAACTTGTTTACACATTAATTATGTTAATACATATGGCAACAGAATAAAAGATAAGCTGATACAAATATATTTTGTTTCTTTACATCTGAATTCAAGATATGATAAGGATAAGTTCATGGAAGGGGAACCAGGGAAGGCAAGTGGCATAGACCACATGGCCCAGGTTCAGGTTTTAGCTCACTGTCCCCCTGGAGAAATTACTCTCTGTGCCTCAGTTTCTTCATCGACTAAATGGAGATTATAATGCTCTTTCTTTGTATAGTTTGTTGAGGGTTCATGCTGTAGGTTTGAGGACTAAAACATTAAGACTTTCCAATGAATTTATTACTGCTTTATTATCACACTTTAAATGTAGTTATTTGTTTATCTTAAACTTTGTTGCACATAAAATTCTTGGTATTGATAGTTTGTGAGTTCAAGTGTGCAGATCATAGGAGAGGCAGAAGAATGTATTGTTCAAATCTGTAATCTTGTTTGGGACATACTTTGCTGCTGGGTACTCTAAGCAGACACAGGTTGAATAGCAGCCAATAATTTAGTATGGAATTTATGCTTCAAACCCTCCCTTATCATGCAGCTGCCTGGTGCCTTATGGAAACATCACTAACGTGGTTAAGAAATCACCCAGAGCATAGACTGTGCTATGGTTTCTCTGTTTGCACTCAAAGATAAAGAGTGTTTATACGTAGCGGTTGGATGTCTCTTTTACTGCCAGCTATACTGGGTAATGTATAGCAATAGAGTCCTCCATGGAAGGGTATGTTATTGTATTTATCATTCTTATTTTTTTCCCTTAGATGACTTGTTTTGTTTTACCACCCTAGTAACAGATAAAAATGAAAAAACCAAAAAAAGGTCATCTCATGCTAATTTCAACCTTACTAAATAGAAATGAATTCTTGCTATTCATTGCACTTAACCCTATTCAGGCTTAAAAATGACAAGAAAAGTATATCCCAAGATAAATAAGAAAGTGTTATATTATAAAGATATATGTGTGCATTCTGGGATGCTTAATATCCTGTGTACTTAATTTAATAAAATATATGAAAACCCTGATCAATGGGGGCATGTAGGAGACATAAAAAGAATTAGGACATGTCACCTATATGTACCAGCTTCCGGTGATGACTGTAATCACCGTGTACTTCAAACCTGTCGTAAAAAATAAGCGTGGGGGCTTCTTAATGGCTTTAGTGACAATTTTGTGCTGGATAATAAGGGTTTAGACTTGTCAATTTTACTTTATTTTTCCCAGCTGAAAGGAATTCTCTAAAAGATGAGACAAAGCTTCAGAATTGTCATTCTCTAGTGAAGACCTTCTGGAGATTAAAAAAGGAAACAAGAAAAAAAAGGGGAGGGGAAGAAAGAAGAAAAAAGTAAAAGAGAAAGGAAGGAAGAAAAGCCTCTTTGGCTTTGCAGAGTACATTATAGAGGTTCTAAAATAAAAATACAGGAAGCTTAGGAGAATGTAATAAATTATGTCCTTCTTTTTCCTTGAATGGTCAGCCTTCCACCTTAGCTAATGAGGGAGGGGACGAGTCTGCAGGCAGAAAACAGCTTTCTCTGCGGTGGCAGCTGAGGCAGGTAAGCTCGGAGGGCCAGGGAGCCTGCCTGGAAGAATTTAGAAGGGGGAAAGTCAAACACAAATGAGCAGCTTTAGTTGGCTGTTAACCAGCCGATTGCAGAATGTGAGGAACTCTCAGCTGTAGTGTTAACCAGCACCCACGCTGCTCTGTCCCAGGGAGCTGAGAAGTCAAAAGAAGGTTTGTGCTGCTTTTCCTTTTTGGGCCATGGTGTCACTGTGCGTAATATTGGGTGATTTATGTGTTTCTGAGGCCGGTGAAAGACAGACTAAAAAAGAATTTTTAAAGCAAATGCAGAATTTATTTCAAATGATCTGACTTTAATTGAACCCTTCAGGTTTAAGGATTTTTCTGGGTTTAGTGTTTTCTCAAATGCTGTCCCCCACCTTCTGCACCAAAGCATAGATGAAAATGACAAGTGTTCCTTCCCTGGACAAGGACCATATATGTATGCACTTGAAAACAGTTTCTCTCTTCCTTTGGCCATCACCGTAACTGCAGTTCTGCCACATTGCTGTGGAGAAATAAATTACCTGCTGAAAGATGTAAGAAAGTCTGGAAATGGACATATCAGAGTTGTCTGTTCTTTAAAAAATAGTTTACTAAAGATTTAAGGGCAGAGGGTGATTTAATTGAAAACAGTGGACTGCTGACATCATCAAGACAATCAAGTTACAGCCAACTTGTCTTGTTTGTCTATAAGATCTTTGCAAAAATAAGATTTCCCATACACACTCATGCACCCACATGAGTCAGAGGAGATACAGTAATACAGATAAATAGAGGTTCTTTTTCTTTAATGTACTTATGTCTGCAGTAACTCATTTCAGAGCTTGCTTCTTAGACCGAGGCAGCACAGGAAAGGAAGAGGCACTGCTGAGATCATAATGCTGTTTCAGTGTGGTGGCTTCAGCAACGGGAAATGACACTCGGGCCAGCAGTTGGAGCCTGGCAGTTACTGTGACGACAACACACACCAGAGGAAAACAAAGATGGTCTGCTCACCCAGGAGCCAGGCAGACTTCTAATTGTTCTGTGAGTCCTGAAATGTGACACCGGAGGTATTCAAGGCTCTTTGCGGTTCGTGAACTGTTTAGTAAGTGACACACGCTTGAGGGGCAGCCTGGTGTTCAGATCTAGGAGCGGCCTTACAGGTGCTGCCTTTTCCAAATATCACTTTCTGCTTTGGCCCCACCAAGGCAACTGTGCTGGCCGCAGCCCGTGCCTGTTCTG